GAAAACAGCAAGGAGTTTCCTCAAGTCATTAAACAGAGAACTAACTGTATGACCCATCAATTCCACTTCTGGGTATCTATCTAAAGGAGCTGAAGTCAGGGACTTGAATAGATATTTGCGCGCCAGGGTTCACAGCAACATTGTTCACAGTGCCAAATGCGAAATTCTTACACTTTCAGTTGTTTTAAACTTAGTTCGAACAAGGAGATATTTTAGCCATTCAAAGCCTTCCTGCTTTGCACACACACAGCAGTTATGCCCCAAGTCTAACAGCTGCAGATAAGATAAATTCTGGGGCTATAACTACCCCCAAGCTGCTGCTACCCTTCCAAACTTTCTGACCCAGAGACTTCCCACTAGCTGCTAAGCAACATAGCCTAGACACATAAACCCCCTCTGTGATCACCTCCTACAGTAGGAGTTGGCCCCCTCCCTTTCTAAGTAGTGGCTTTCATGCTATAGCTTCCGTATTTTCTCATACCTGAGGGACTTTCTCCACGAGAAAACCTGCCGAAGTTCTGCCCAGAGAAAGCTTTTGTGTGGTATTGCCACCTCATGATCATTTCTTTTCCCCGAATCACCCCGGAAATAACGGGAATACCCTACATATGTGTATGGCTCCTCCCTCTCGCCCCCCCCCCCAACACCGCCACATGCGCGCACACACATATTTAGATTCCTAATCCTTTGGAGTTTATTTTTGTGAGTGGTGTGAAGGATAGACGTAATTTTATCTTAGCACCATTCATTAAACCACTCATTTCTGTCCCAGTGATCTGAAATACCCCCGTTATGAATTACATTTCCACGTTTTGGGGTTGATTTCCAGATACTCCATTTGATTGAAACTGTTTCCTATTCATGTGCCAGTTCCACAGTTTTAATTGTAGTGGCTTTATAGTTTGTTTTAGTGTCAGTAGGGCTTCATCACTTGTTTTCAATGTCTTCTTAGACATCATCATGTATGTATGTTCTTCCATATAAATGTTAGTATCAACATTTGCCTAACTCCACTAAAAAAAAAAAAGCTTATTGGCATTTTTATTAGGATTATGTTACATTTCTGAATTAACCTGGGGAGAATTGATATCTTTATGATGTCAAGCCACTTTATCAAAGAATGAGGGATGTTTTTCCTTTTGTTCAAGTCCATTTATGCCTTTCTACATTATGTTAAAAGTTCCTTATATGGGTTTTATACATTGCTTGTTTAGTTTAATCCAAAGCTTTCTGGTGTTTGGTGTTTTTTTGTTTCCTATTATAAATGAGGTTTTCTGTACCATTATATCACCTTACTGGTTATTGATTAACTGGAGACTTTTCATGTCCTGCTAACTTACTAAATTCTTTCATTGTTTACATTAGTCTTATCATTAGTTCTCTAGAGATTTCCATGAACAGTATCATATCATCTGCAAAAAGAGATAGTTTTATTTCATTTGCAGTTCTTATGTTTATTAGTTTCTCCCCAATGTCACCAGTGCACACTCAGACACACATATACACACACATATGCGCGCACACACACAGTTATAAATATAGCCAATCATCTTAAGAAAGTATTCATTAGTTTCTGTTTTTTGAGTGCTTATATCAAAAATGGGTGTTGAATTTTGTTAAAAGGCTTCATCAGCATCTATGGAGATAATCATATGATTTGTTTTCTTAGATGTATTGATATGGTATATTATTTAATGACTTTCTCTTAAAAATTTTTTGAGAGAGAGCAAGCTGAGTGGGTAAGTGGGGGAGAAAGAGAGACAGAGAGAGAGAATATCTCAGGAAGGCTCCACACTCAGCATGGAGCCTGATGCAGGGCTCGATCGCACAACCCCACGATCATGACCTGAGCCAAAATCAAGAGTTGAACAGTCAGCTGATGGAGCTACCAGGTGCTAATGGATTTCTTAATAATTAAACTTTTAATTTCTAGAGCAAATTCCACTTGCTCAAGGTTTATTATTTTCTTAGTGGTTTTGTATTCTTTTTGCTAATATTTAACATAGCTCACTTGAATCAATATTTATAAGTGATATGGCTTTGTAATTTTCTACTTTTGTATCCTATCAGGTTTTATATGAATGTTATTAAAGGAATGAGGAAGTTTTTCTTCATTCTTATTGCTTTTAAACAACTTATGGACTACCTTGAGTATCTGAACTTTGAAGGTTTGGTATAATTCTGTATCTGAAACATCTGGGCTTGGGTGCCTGGGTGGCTCAGTAGGTTAAATGTCTAACCAACTCAGGTCATGATCTCGCAGTCCGTGAGTTTGAGCCCCGCGTCGGCTCTGTGCTGACAGCTCAGGGCCTGGAGCCTGCTTCTGATTCTGTGTCTCCCTCTCTCACTGCCCCTTCCCCACTCATGCTCTGTTTCTCTGTCTCTCTCTCAAAAGTGAATAAATGTTAAAAGAAAAAATTTAGGGGCGCCTGGGTGGCGCAGTCGGTTAAGCGTCCGACTTCAGCCAGGTCACGATCTTGCGGTCCGTGAGTTCGAGCCCCGCGTCGGGCTCTGGGCTGATGGCTCAGAGCCTGGAGCCTGTTTCCGATTCTGTGTCTCCCTCTCTCTCTGCCCCTCCCCCGTTCATGCTCTGTCTCTCTCTGTCCCAAATATAAATAAACGTTGAAAAAAAAAAGAAAAAAAAAAAAAAAGAAAAAATTTAAAGTATCCAGGCTCGCATTTCCAGTCCACTGATGCTTGATGAGAGTACCAAAACAATTCAGTAGAGGAACAAATAGTCTTTTCGACAAATGGTGCTGGGACAGCTGGATAGCTACACACAAAATAATGAAGCTCGTTGTCTACCTCACCCATATTTGAAAATTACTCAAAATGGATCAAAGAAATAACTAAGAGCTCAAATAATAAAACTCTTAAAAGGAAATATAGTAGTATATCTTTAGTGATCTTGGATTTGACAGTGGTTTGTTAAAATTTACACCCAAAGCATAAGCAACCAAAGAAAAATAGACAAGCTGGCACTTAATCAAAATTAAACTGTTTTGTACTTCAGAGGACCCCATAAATAAGTGAAAAGACAACCTATTGAATGGGAGAAAAAATTTGAAAATTCTATATCTGCAAAGGGACCAACATCTGGAAAACATAAAGAACTCTTAGAGTTCAATAATAAAATGATAAATAACACAATTAAAAATAGTTGAGGATTTGAATGGACATTTCTTCAAGTAAGACATACAAATGGCTAATAACAACATGCAAAGATACTCAATATCCACTAGTCATCAGGGAAATTAAAATGAAAACCACAATGAAACAGTACTTCACACCAACTAGGATGGCTACATGTTTTAAAAACCAAAACAAAACAATACTAAGTGTTGGCAAGGATGAGGAGAACTTGGAACCCTCACACAACTGCAGGTGAGATTGTAAATGGTGCAACCACTTTGGAAAATAGCCAGGCAGTTACCCCAAAGGTTAAACTTAGTGTTTAATATGACCCAGCAGTTCCAGTCCTAGGCATATACCCAAAAGAAATGAAAACATGTCCATAAAAACTTGCACAACAATATTTCATAGCATTATTCAAAAAGGCCAAAGAGTGAAAACAACCCCCATGTCCACTAACTGATAGGAATGTTATTCATCAGTCAAAAAGAATGAAATACTGGGGCACCTGGGTGGCTCAGTTGGAAGAGCATGCAACTCTTGATCTGGGCGTCATGAGTTCAAGCCTCATGTTGGTGTAAAGGTTTACTTAAGTAAATAAATAAATAAACTTAATACTGATAAATGCTACAGTATAGATTAACCTTGAAAAGTTTATGCTATCTGTAAGAAATCAGTCACAAAAGACCACATAGTTTTTAAAACTTATGTGAAATCATCAAATAGGCAAATCTATAGAGACAATAAATAAATAGCTGCTTAGGGATGGGATGGGATGGGGAGCTGGGGATGGTGAAATTGTTCTCAAACTGATTGTGGCAATGGTTTCACAACTCTGTGAATAAAATAACCACTGAATATACACTTTGGGTGAATTGTGGGCGTCTGGGTGGCTCAGTTGGTTAAGCGTCTGACTTTGGTTCAGGTCTCCTGGTTCCTGAGTTCAAGCCCCACTTTGGGCTCTCTGCTGTCAGCTCAGAATCTGCTTTGGATCCTGTCTCCCTCTCTCTCTGCCCCTCCCCCTCTGTGCTCTCTCTCAAAAATAAATAAATATTAAAAAAAGTAAACGGATGAATTATATGTGAATTCTGTCTCAATAAAGCTGTTGCCACCCCCACTCAACCAAAAACCAATCCATCTGGGCTTGATGCTCTTTGGTAGTGTAAATTCCTATATAATTTTCTAGGTTGGGTTACACTGATATTCTATTTCTAGGTTTTGTTTGTCTTTTAGCTTGGAATTTATTTTTTATTATCTCACTTTTAAGGATACATTTAGGAATATGAATTTTCCTCTGATCACTGTTCAAAAAATATCCCATGTTATTTTTAAATGTTATTTTTTAATGTGTTTTGATTATATTTGAGAGAGACAGGGTGCGAATGGGGGAGGGGCAGAGAGAGAGAGGAAGACACAGAATCTGAAGGAGGCTCCAAGCTGTCAGCACAGAGCCTGATGTGGGCTTGAACCCACGTACTGTGAGATCATGACCTGATTCAAAGTCTGACACTTAACCCTTAACCGAATGAGCCACCCAGGCGCGCCCCCCCCGCCATGTTATTTTTAATAGCCAAAAAAAGTGGAAATAACCCAATGTCCATTAACTGTTGAGTGGATAAATTGTGACACACCCACACAGTGGAATACTACTCAGTAAGAAAAAGAAATAAAGACTGGTACACACTACAACATGGATGAACCTTGATAACATTATGGAAGTCAAAGAAGGCCAGACACAAAGACCACATGTTGTAATATCCTGTTTACATGAAATGTCAGAATAGGCAAATCCCCAAAGACAAAAAACAAAACAAAAAAAAAAAAAACCCCAAACTACATTGTTGCTTTGGGCTGGGGGAGTGGGGGTGATGAGGTGGGAAGATTATGGCTAAGAGGGTACGGGGTTTCCTTTTGTGATTATGAAAATGTACTAAAATTGATTGTGGTGATGGATACACAACTCTGACTATACTATGGTACATTTTAAATGGGTTAATTATGTGCTATGAGGATTCTACCTTAAAGCTGAAGGTCAGAGAGAGGACTGATGAGCTGGGAGCTCATTTTACGGGCTAGCAGGCTCATCTTTATAAATATGCAGAGCGCCGCCTGGGACTGAACCAACAAGGAGAAAGTCTTGAAGAAGAGAGAGCATTTCAAGAGCTTCCGTGGCCCGGAACTGGGGGCAAACCCCGCCCACCGTGTCCGTGCCGCTTCTAACTCGGTCCCCTGCCCTCGGACATCCCAGCGTTGCGCCTCGGACGTGGTGGGTGCAACAGCCAGCTCGGGACCCAGCTCCAGCCCGCTCCCCAGACATCCGCAAGCAGCGGCTGCCACCCGGGACCCAACCCCTCTGCTCTTGAGGCCCCGTCCCGTACGCTGACCTCCTGGCGGAAACCGGAAGCGGAAGTGCTAATCGGAAACCGACTCACTTCGAGCTCCGCCCCGCTTCTAATGCGTTGGCTCCCCGGAGGTTTCGAGCTTCCGCGACTGGTGGGGAATCGCGGGTGCGCCGCGCCCGAGGGACCGAGGCCGCCCGGGTCCGTCCCAGAGCCTCGGTCGGCTTCGCCCGCGCGGGTGGGGGTCGGGGCCGCGGCTCGGGGTCCCGAGTGGAGGCAGGGCCTTCTCTCTGCCCGCTGTGAGCCTCTCTGCGAAAGCTGCCAGAACAAACCGTGTCCTTTCTCCAGAGGAGAAACGTGTACGCGGTTGTGGAAAACGGCCGCAGCGCCCCTTCTCTCCGACGTGGCGATTGCGGTGCGTTCCGGTGGGGACTGGACGGAAATGCTCTGGCTGTGGCCACCCGTTACTGAAATGTGATGAATTGTTCAGGTGTTGCCTTACTGTACGTTTGACCAGTTGTTAGTATTTAGCATGCATACATAGTGTACCTTCTCTACATCTCTCTCCATGTGTAGAGTTAAATGTTTGTGGTAACCTCTTTGAAAGTAAGGAGGTGGAAATAAGTTGCAGGCATATTTCATCTTTAGCATCGGGTTAATTGCCTCCCATGTAACAACAGAGGAGTTATGTAAAAACTGTAGATTAATACCCAAAGTGAGAAATGAACAAGAGGTTTGCATAGGCCCTTCCATTAAAAACAAAAACAAAAACAGATGGGCAACGAATGTATAAAGAGGTGCTCCATGTCATTAGCAACCAGGGATTTGCAAATAAAAACCACAGTGTGATACTACTGCACACACTGAATGGCTAAAAGTAAAACTGAAAAGGGAAAAACAGTGCCCGGTATTGGTTGAGATGTTCGTAGACTGCTAGTGGAAACACATTTTTAAAGTATATCAACTAAATATGATCTGGTGGTGACACACCAGTGATGCACACACGTGGCCACCAATTGAACATAAACACTATATGTAACATCATTATTTGAACTATCCCTCGCTTGGAAGTAACTGAAAGTGGATCAAGGGATGAGCCGATGACTTGTGGCGTGTATTTTTTGTGGCATACTCAAAATGAGCAAAGAGAAGGAACGCAGAGGTAACCTCTTGGATGAAGCTCACAAGCAATGTCCGATTAAAGAAGCCAGACGCAAAAGATTGCAGGCTGTTAGATACCTTTTCTTTAAAATTCTCTCTCTCAAAAGTAAATAAACATTAAAAAGGTTAGAAAAAAATGGGGTGCCTGAGTGGCTCAGTCAGTCAAGCGTCTGACTCTTGATTTTGGCTCAGGTCATGGTCTCATGGTTTGTGAGATTGAGCGCCACGTTGGGCTCTGTGCTGACAGCTCAGAGCCTGCCTGGCATTCTCTGTCTCTTCTCTGCCCCTCCCTCCGTCTCTCTCTCTCTCAAAAGTAAATACGCATTAAAAAAATTAAATAAAAATTCAAAAATAGGCAGTACGCTGCCGAGTGTTAAATGTCAGGATAGTGGTTGCAGTTGGGAAGCGTGGAGTTAGCGATTTGGAAAAGAGACAAGGAATATGTCTGAGATGCTGGATATGGAAATATTCTATTTCTCAACCTGGAATGATGTTACATGGGGCTGTTCATTTCTGAATACTTCATTGAGATTTTTATTCATGATTGCCTCCCTTAGTCATATGTATGCTGTAATTCCATAAAAGAAGTTTAAGAAATGGAACTAAGGGCGCTGCTTGATAAAGTTGAGCAAGGAATATAGAAGTAGAAGAAAATATACTGGGAGCCTGGGTGACTCCGTTGGTTAAGCATCAGACTTCAGCTCAGGTCAGGATCTCACGGTTCGTGAGTTTGCACATCCGTTGAGCTTGAGCCCCATTTCAGGTGAGCATGAGCCCCAGCAGGGTAAGCCCTGCTTCTCTCTCCTCTCTCTCTCAAAAAGGAGGAGGAAGAGGAGGAGGAGGAGAGGGAGAAGAAGAAAATGTACTGAAAGGGTGAATAAAAATAAAACCAATACTTAATGGAGAAAAGTAGAACTGAACAGCAATATGAAAAGGCAAAAAGATGCACAATATATTTGTGTACTAGTCTTTGGTTAATTGTGAGAAAATATGGAAAGCCTTCAGTTTCGACATAAAAACAACGATGTGTTTCCGACACTGTTGGAGTGGCTAACATTAGAAATGTATTTCGAGTTTTTCTAAAATCACAATATTCAGTTTCGGATGTCCATCTGTTTATTACCTCCATTGCCCCATTTAATTGTGAAATCCCCAAGAACTGTTCCCTCCTCATTGCCTCATACCTGGCCTGGCTTAAAGAAGGTCCTTACTGAATATTAGCTGACTGCATGAAGCAGTAAGAGACAGAAGGAGGTGAAGGTTCCAAATCCAGCCAAGCTCCAGCAGTGGGTACTCAGAGGGACTTCTGATTGCATAAAACCTTTTGTATTTCTCATCTCCATTATGCCCAGCAGAGGGTGTGGACGGAGTATTATTAAATGATAGTTATTTACACCCAATTTGGAGTGTTGTTCTAACAACGAAAGGAGATTATATATGTACAACTACTAATAATAGTAAATAGCAGTTGATAATATTTGTATGATAGGGTATTAAATGGTTTTTAACGGCTGTCATGTGTTTTCATCTGCACAGATATGGCGAAAGAGTGATGGTTGATGATTGAGGAAAAATGTCTGATGTTTAATGATGGATGTTGTGAACCAATTAGCCAGATACTCCAGTGTATGAAGAGAAATTGAGATCAACGTCTTAAACTCAAAAGCTCCTCTGAAGTGGTCTGAGCAAGAGATGGAATATTCTGGAAACTCTATCAGATTCACAGGATGGCAGCCCTTGATGTGAATCAGGTGGGTGGTGAGTCCTTGCTGATGCTTCTTTCCAAATTTGTTTGCTTCATGTAGTTCCTTCACAAATGGCAGAGCCAGCACTCGGGGCTGAGTGATCATGTGGTGGACCATATAAGCGTGACTGAAATGAGCAGAGTGTGTATAAGTCAGGTTTCTGGGATTTGAGATGCAGGAAGGTGTGTGTGTGTGTGTGTGTGTGTGTGTGTGTGTGTGTGTGTGTGCACTTTTTCAGGGGGTAATATATTCACGAATTCTATTGTGTCAAACAGCTCTGCCTCACTGTAATTTGTATAACTCAAGATGGAATTAAAAAAAATGTTTATTTATTTTGAGAGAGAGAGCACCCATGTGCACGTGTGGGGCAAGGGCAGGGAAAGAGAGAGAGAATGAGAATATCCCAAGCAGACTGTGTGGAGCCTGACCCAAGGCTCGATCTCATAACTGTGAGATCATGACCTGAGGTGAAATCAAGAGTTGGATGCTCAACTGACTGAGCCACCCAGGTGCCCGTAAGATGGAATTTTTAACCTGTATCTCGTGGGTAGCAAGATCCAGAAAACCATCGTCTTGCTCCAGGTAACTCAGTCATATGGAATTATCGTGTTTGGTGTGTGTTCTGTGCCTGGTGTGGACCGTTCGTAGGCATGTGGTTATTGGAATTGGATTGGCTTCAGAGTTCATGGCCTTCTTCTCTCTGAGGTCATCTTTCTTGGGACCTTTTCTGTCTTTAGAGGAAAGGAAACTCGAAGAGGCTAGGATGGTGGCTGGGTTACTGATGGATTCTTCTCAGGTACGTAGAAAGTTGACCTTTCTTCAGAATGTCCTGTTTCTCTCTGTCAGATACAAGCCTTATCTTCTTGTAATGTCCCCAGGCTTTTTATAGCAATTAATGGCCCTGCTTAAGGAATGAGTCCCAGGTAAATGTCTCCAGGACTCATGCCATCTCAGAATACATAGGGATTATACTGGATGTGATTCTTTTATCTCCGTATTCATTAATTCTTTCTGATGCTTGATCATGCTTGTTGGCTTATCATTTCACTGAGTGTTATGATAGATACTGAGGAATGATATGAAGGTATCTAATCTCATGGAATGCATGTGTTACTGTGGAAATAATTAATCTCTTAGTAGATTTTACAGAGTGTTACAGTGTGCTCAGTGCTAACCGCAGCCTATAAATAGAGGAGGAAAATAAAGCAAGAAGAGCCCACAATAAAGTTGTGGTAACATAAGTTTCATCACATGTCAGACATGCCGGTAAATCCACATGACTGGCTGTGATCACCAGGCACATCTATAGCTGGAGAGCAGACAAGGTCTGGGCCCGAGAGTACTGTAGGCTTCTGGTCTACCTTCCTCAGTCCTTCATCTTTCTGAGAACCTCAAAGAAGATGCTAGTTCGCTGAAGGCAGCATGTGTCTGATGGTTTAGCACTTAGTGACCTTTGAGTATGTAGCTGTGGACTTTACCCAGGAGGAGTGGACTTTGTTGGATCAAACACAGATTGTTCTCTACAGAGATGTGATGTTGGAGAACTACCAGAATCTCATCACACTAGGTAAGCATCGTTCTTCACTGAACCCCTTATGAAATAAATGTTTCTTAAGTACCTTTGCTGTCAAATGGGAAGACTGTGGTAAACAAGACAGACATAATCCCTGGCCTCAGGGGCCTCACTCTCTGGAGGATTCCCTGTGCAAATGAAGATCTGTCTAGATAAATGATACTCTTTTAGGGACTGAAAACCTTAAGACTTAAAAAAAATTTTTTTTTTATTAACATTCATTTTTGAGAGACAGAGACAGAGCGTGAACGGGGGAGGAGCAGAGAGAGGGAGACCCAGACTCCAAAGAAGACTCCAGGCTCTGAGCTGTGGGCACAGAGCCTGACACGGGGCTTGAACTCACAAACCGTGAGATCATGACCTGAGCCAAAGTTGGATGCTTAATCGACTGAGCCACCCAGGCACCCCATGAAAACCTTAAGACTTTACTTTATTTTATTACTTTTTTTTCAGTTTTTATTTTAATTTCATTATAGTTAACATACAGTGTTAGTTTCAGGTATACAATATAGTGACTCAGCATTTCCGCATAGTACCCCATGCTCATTACAACTAGTGTACTCCTTAATCCCCATCACCTATTTAACCCAACCCTCCTACTCCCCTCCCCTCAGGTAATCATCAGTTTGTTCCCTATAATTAAGAGTCTGCTTCTTGATTTGCCTCTGTTTTTTTCCCCCTTGTTTGTTTTGTTTTGTTTTGTTTTGTTTTAATTTAAAAATTTTTTTTTTTAATTTACATCCAAATTAGTTAGCATATAGTGAAACAGTGATTTCAGGAGTAGATTCCTTAGTGCCCCTTACCCATTTAGCTCATCCCCCCTCCCACACCCCCTCCAGTAACCCTCTGTTTGTTCTCCATATTTATGAGTCTCTTCTGTTTTGTCCCCCTCCCTGTTTTTATTTTTTTTTTTTAATTTTTTTTTCAACGTTTTTTATTTATTTTGAGGACAGAGAGAGACACAGCATGAACGGGGGAGGGGCAGAGAGAGAGGGAGACACAGAATTGGAAACAGGCTCCAGGCTCTGAGCCATCAGCCCAGAGCCTGACGCGGGGCTCGAACTCACGGACTGCAAGATCGTGACCTGGCTGAAGTCGGACGCTTAACCGACTGCACCACCCAGGCGCCCCGCCCTCCCTGTTTTTATATTATTTTTGTTTCCCTTCCCTTATGTTCATCTGTTTCGTCTCTTAAAGTCCTCATATGAGTGAAGTCCTATGATATTTATCTTTTTCTGACTAATTTCACTTAGCGTAATACCCTCCAGTTCCATCTAAGTAGTTGCAAATAGCAAGCTTTCATTCTTTTTGATTGCTGAGTAATACTCCATTGTATATATATATATCTCACATCTTCTTTATCCATTCATCCGTTGATGGACATTTGGGCTCTTTCCATACTTTGGCTATTGTTGATAGTGCTGCTATAAACACTGGGGTGCATGTGCCCCTTCGAAACAGCACACCTGTATCCGGTGGATAAATGCCTAGTAGTGCAATTGCTGGGTCATAGGGTAGTTCTATTTTTAGTTTTTTGAGGAACCTCCAGACTGTTTTCCAGAGTGGCTGCACCAGCTTGCATTCCCACCAGCAGTGCAAAAGAGATCCTTTCTCTTTGCATCCTCACCAACATCTGTTGTTGCCTGAGTTGTTAATGTTAGCCATTCTGATGGGTGTGAGGTGGTGTCTCATTGTGGTTTTGATTTGTATTTCCCTGGTGATGAGTGATGTTGAGCATTTTTTCATGTGTCGGTTGGCCATCTGTATGTCTTCTTTGGAGAAGTGTCTATTCATGTCTTTTGCCCATTTCTTCACTGGAGTAGTTGTTTTTTGGGTGTTGAGTTTGAGAAGTTCTTTATAGATTTTGGATACTAACCCTTTATCTGATATGTCGTTTGCAAATATCTTCTCCCATTCTGTCGGTTGCCTTTTAGTTTTGCAAAACTTTAAGACTTAAGATGTGTATGAGGCCAGATGTGATTTTCAGGTCTTAGAGTTCTCTAGTCTTTTGAGGGCACAAAGAATGTACTTCGATTTTTTAAATGTTTTTTAATGTTTTTATTTATTTTTGAGACAGAGAGAGACAGAGCATGAGCAGGGAAGGGGCAGAGAGAGAGGGAGACACAGAATCTGAAGCAGGCTCCAGGCTCTGAGCTGTCACCACAGAGCCTGACGCGGGGCTCGAACTCATGGACTGTGAGATCATGACCTGAGCTGAAGTCGGATGCTTAACCGACTGAGCCACCCAGACATCCCTGTACTTCGATTTTTGTTCCTTTTAGAATAGTTTTATTGCATTGATTTAAAATTTCATGTGATGATTTTGCAGTTTATAAAGTGAGACTTCACTGTCTTCAGAAACCGTGAAGGCTAAAATGTTGGTTCCTATCCAAAGACCTGCATTTCGTGTCTTTCAGGGTTCTCTTTATGTATTTTTCCCTTAAGCAGGATACAAATCATGCAAACCTGATCTCAGCTCTGCATTAGAAGCAGCAGAATTGCTGAGGACAGGAGGGAGAGGAGTTCTGCAGGGTAAGTTCATGATACGGTTTTGTGCAGAGCGATGCCAGTCTAGGAAAGGTGCAGTCCATTTGGAAATGCCACTTGGTAAGCTTTCGGAGGTCTACCCTTTTTCAGAGAAGGCTGAACGAAGCCACTTCGTTTCTGAATTTGCTCAGGAACCTTTAACTCCCTTTACCTTTAAATTTCCATTGATGTCAACCTTCTTCTGTTCTCTCAGAAAGACCTGTCTGGCTCATTTGAAAATTTCATTACTTGCAGATAGGTCTTTTTACAATACTTTCTATTTTGTTTCCTGACTGTCTCAGTGTTTTTTGTGTACCGTCAGCCTTAGTTTTCCTGAGTATTAAGCTTTGTAAATTGCCTGCAGTTTCGACCCCATACTCTTATGATTGCCAGACTTCTCTAACACACTGCCCTCTGTGTAGTCCCAAGTTCCCTTTTTTCAACCTTTTTGTCTTGTTCCACTCATATTTAGATACAAGTATGTGCCATATGTTTTTTTTCTTTTTGGATAAAATACACAAATGAACCATTTTGGTGAGTGTGATTTATTGGTACTGAGTACATTCACAGTGGTGTGCAACCATCAGCTCTTTTTAGTTCCAAAATACTTTCGCTTAAAAAGGAAACCCTGTAACCAATCAGCAGTCAGCCTCCGTTCAGCCCTACCCCCAGCCCCTGCAACCACTAATCTACTTTCTATTTACAGGTGTACCTATTCCGTACATATCTAGTAAAATCATACAGAATTCAATTTCATGACAATGTGCGGGGGCATATGGTCCTTTTATGTTTAACTTGTTAAGAATTACCAAACTATTTTATATAGAGGCTGTATCGTACTATATTCCCTCGGACAGTGTGGAAGTTACTCCACATTCTTGCTATCATCACTTATGTCCTTTTTTTCTTTTCTGTTTTTTAAATCTTTTTAAAAATTTTACTTATTTTGGGGCACCTGGGTGGCTCAGCCAGTTAAGCATGCGACTTCAGCTCAGGTCATGATCTCACAGCTCGTGAGTTCTAGCCCCACATCGGGCTCTGTGCTGACAGCTAGGAGATTGGAGCCTGCTTCGGATTCTGTCTCCCTCACTCTCTGCCCCTTGCCCACTCATATTCTATATCTCTGTCTCTCCCTCTCTCTCTCTCTCTCTCTCAAAAATAAACATTAAAAAAAATTTACTTATTTTGAGAGAGAGAGAGAGAGTGCACGTGCACGAGCTGGGGAGGCGCAGAAAGTGAGGGAGAGAGAGAATCCCAGGCAGGCTCTGCGCTGTCAGCACAGAGCCCCACCTGGGGCTCAAACTCATGAGCCGTAAGATCATGACCTGAGCTGAAATCAAGAATCGGATGCTTAGCTGACTGAGCCACCCAGGTGCCCCATCTTCTTTTTTTGTTTTAATAGTAACCATCCTAGAGTATGCAGTGGTGTCTTACCGTGGTTTTGATGTGCATTTCCCTAAAACAAATGATGTTGAACATCTTATCCTGTGCTTGTTGACCATTTCTGTGTCTTTGGAGAAATGCTGATTCAAGTTCTTTGCCCCTTTTTTACCCTGTGTTGTTTTTTGTTGTTGACGTGCAGGAGTTCTTTCTGGCCTCTCACAGCGGGCCCAAAGCACATGTATGATTTACATGTTTTTTCTCCCATTTTGGGGATATCGTTATGCTCTTTTTGATGGTGTTTTTTGATGCACAAACAGTTTTAATTTTGGTGGGGTCCCATTTATCTTTGTTTTCTTTGGTGCTTTTTCATATCTTACAAAGATTAGACACTGTCAGATCCAAGGTTCTAAAGATTTACCCCCTTGCTTTCTTCTAAGATTTTTTAATAGGTTTAGCCTTTACATTAGGTTTTTGGTCCATTTTTACTTTATTTTTTTTTTATTAAAAAATTTTTTTTACATTTATTTATTTTTGAGAGACAGAGTGAGACAGAGCACTAGTGGGGGAGGGGCAGGGGGTGGTGAGACACAATCCAAAGCAGACGCCAGGCTCTGAGCTGTCAGCACGTTGCCCAACGTGGGGCTGGAGTTCACAGACCGAGAGATCATGACCTGAGCTGAAGTCAGACGCTAAACCAACTGAGCCACCCAGGCGCCCCAGATTTTTGATCCATTTTGAGTGAATTTGTGTATATGGTCTGAATCAGGGGTCTGCTTTGATTCGTCTGCATAGAGCTATCCAGGTATCCTAGCACTAGGTGTTGAAGAGACTATTCTTTCCCCTGGCACACTGTTGAGAGTATGTTTTTTGTTTTTTTTTTTTCTTTTCTTTTTCTGGATTCATGTTTATGTCTATCCTTTTGCCTATACCACCCATTTTTTTTTTTTTTTTAGTTATTTATTTTGGAGAGAGAGTTTGCAAGCAAGAGCACACACAAAAGGGGGAGGGGCAGAGAGAGAGAAAGAGAGACAGAACCCAAAGCAGGCTCCAGGCTCTGAGCTGTCAGCACAGAGCCTGATGTGGGGCTAGAACTCAGAAACCATGAGATCATGACCTGGGTTGAAGCTGGGTGCTTAACCAGCTGGGCCACCCAGGTGTCCCTGTACCACCCATTTTTGATACTGTGCTTTTTAGTTCTTTTGGTTCTTTAAAAAAAAAGAATTTGTTTTTAATGTTTATTCATTTTTGACAGAGAGAGAGAAGGAGAGAGAGAGAGAGAGAGAGACAAAGTATGAGGCGGGGGGGGGGGGCAGAGAGAGAGGAAGACAGAATCCAAAGCAGGCTCCAGGCTCCAAGCTGTCAGCACAGAGCCCATCGTGGGGCTCGAACCCACGAACTTTGAGATCATGACCCAAGCCGAGGTCTGACACTTTATCAACTGAGTCACCCAGGTGCCTGTCTTTTGGTTCTTTTTTGTTTGTCTCGTATTGATAATTTCTTTAGCGAAACATAATTCTTCTAGTTTCCTATAGTTCTTTGTCCATGGTTTCTGTTAGCTGGGTGTGTTGAAACAAATGGATTTAAGGTTGTTACTAAGTCCCGTGCTTTTGCTTTTAGGAGCAATTTTTTTTTTTTTTTAATTTTAGAGAGAGTAAATGAGCAAGGGAGAGAGGCAGAGGGGGAAAGAGAAAGAGAGAGAGAAAGAGAAAGAAAGAGAGAATCCCACGCAGGCTCCACACTCAGCACAGAGCCCAACACGGGGCTCAATCCCACAACCCTGGGATCATGACATGAGCCGAAATCAAGAGTCAGATGCTCAGCTGACTGCGCCACCCAGAAGCCCTAGAAACATAAATTCTAGATATCATAATGCTGCTGTTTGAAAATCTGATTCACCCCTCTCCCAGGGTTTGCTGTTGCTGCTTGTTGTGTACTGTTGATGTTTGCTTAGTGGCTTTTATAAATTATTTTTGTATATTCTGCATTTCTTTTTAGTGCTGTCCCTGAAATCTGTGTTCTGTTAATTTAGTGGTCACTAAACTAGAGTGACAGAAATTCCTTAAATGCCTGGAGCCAAGAGAAGAAAACTAAAAATGTTCTTTTGGTTTTTGTTGATGGGCTGTGTGTTGGGCCACTCCTTTGGTGTTTAGCTAGGCCGTCTACAACTCTTCCTTAGTCTTCTGTCCCTGCTGGAGTGGATCCTGACGATCAGCCAGAGGTTGATCTTTGGATCCTCTTTGGATCCTCTCACCCTTTCCCAGCATGCATCCAGCCCCAGGGGTGCTTATGGACTTCTTGATTCTCTGGTAAACACTCGAGCTTTTAAAGTCCTATTCAGGGGCAGTGGGTGGCTCAGTTGGTTAAGCATCTGACTTAACTCAGGTCATGATCTCACAGTTTGTGAGTTCAAGACCCGAATCAGGCTCTGTGCTGACAGCTTGGAGCCTGGAGCCTGCTTCAGATTCTGTGTCCCTCTCTCTCTGCCCCTCCCCTGCTGTGCTCTCTCTCCTTCAAAATAAACATTAAAAAAATAATAAAATAAAGCCCCTATTCACACACATATCAACATTTTCGGTCTGTGCCTTCTAAGGCCTTTCAGGCTATGTTTTGTTTGTCCCAAATGCTCTCCCTTTCCTCGGGCTGCTCTAGGCAATATTTTGGCTCTAGACATCTTCATCAGAAGTTGTCTGAGCAGCACCTGAGTGGCACAGTTGGTTGAGTATCTGACCTCAGCTCAGGTCATGATCTCATGGTTCGTGGGTTCGAGCCCCGCATTGGGCTCTGTGCTGACAGCTCAGAGCCTGGAGCTTGCTTCTAATTCTGTGTCCCCCTCTCTCTCCTCCCCATCCCTGCTTGTGCTCTTTCTCTCTTTTTCAAAAATGAATAAAAATTTAAAAAAATTTAAAAAAAAAGTTGTCTGAGATGCTGCCTTGTTCCTGGAACTCTCTGAGTTGGGTGATATAATGCCACACCCTTGCGGCGGTGATACTAAAGGAAGCTGCCAGAAAGATCGAAGCACCCAGTGGTGCTTCTTTGAGAACAAGGTCCATAGCGCTCCTTTGAGCCCTCGCAACTTGCTCAAGGATGCATCCTGTTGTCTACATGGCTGGAGCTGATCCGAAGAGTGGGGATGGTAGGTGGGTAATTAAAATGCCTCAGCACTCACTTGATGAATTTATTTTTTATTTTTTTAACATTTATTTATTTTTGAGAGAGAGAGAGAGAGAGAGAGAGAGCGAGCACAGGGGAAGGGCAGAGGGAGAAGGAGACACAGAATCTGAAACAGACTCCAAGCTCTGGGCTGTCAGCACAGAGCCCGATGCTGGGCTTGAACCAACAAACCATGATATGATTAGCTGAAATATAGCTGCTTCTTCCATCAGTGCTCCCTTTGTGAATGTACATTTTTTACTAGATTTCAAACTGCTATGATAGTTTATTTTGATAGTTTTTGTAAGCTTGTTGGTTTTCTGGTGGGAAGGAGCCCTGGAATTCCCTCCTCCGCCATATTTTGTGGCATCAGTCTATGTGCTTTTAAACAATTTTATCCCAGAAATTTTCGCCAAGACTACATTGTCCCACTTTTTAACAGAAGTGGATTTGCAACTCCAAACCAAAGGTTC